TGATCTGGGTTAATATTTTTTACGGTAGCACCTGCCAGCTGGTGTCCGTCCTAGGACCAGAAGCTGCAAACAATCTGATTATTATTTTCATTATAGCAAGGAAAGATGACATCTCTCGAGTCTTTGTAATATATGAGGAAATTGTCTTTACAAATAGGTGGCAAATGTTATAGGTGTGATTCTCCCCTTCTCTCCCACCAAGTATACACTACTTTTCAGAAAATGAAATTATGTGTTGAAAATGACACTAGAAGATAGATATTTTCAAACTAATGTTCCCTTAGGGTTTCATACCTTTAAAACGAATAAAAGAGGCTGTATTACCATTCCCCCCATTATTAAAACTACTTTAAATGCCCAAATATTTTCCTTTGTTAACATGTTGCTGCTAAGTTTAATATAGAATTGGAATAATTCTTTATAATGGGTTGTTCTTCTTTTTTTAGTAAATCATGGGGTACCCTGTAAAAAAGGGGGGTTTAATTTCTTTTATACAAGGAAAAGATAGTTGTACATGTGTAATATGGTGTTGCTTTGTCTAATTTGGACCGGTATCAGTATCTTTACTGATGTTTGTAAATTAAACAGATCTTTACCTCAGTTCCACTTCTTGTATTTCTCAAAGGAGTTTAACGTCCTTTGGCAGATCAACTTTTATTTCGGATATTAAGTTGAGTTTCTCTTGGGAGAGAACTGCAAAAGCTATATTCTAATACCAAATGTACAACAATCAGTTGTTATAGCATATTGCAATCTGTTATATTTTAAGTTTTTGTGTGTAGAAAACACAACTTGTTTCTCAGATTTGGCAACTTCAGCTCCCAGAATTCCCCAGCCAGCTTATTGAAGTCTGCATCTCTTGAAGTTGCCATGTAGGTAGCTGGCTTAATGAGGTAAAGAGTGGAGACGCTCCGATAGAAGAAAAGCAGAAAGGAAGGACTCAAAAGTGCATTTTTCATGAGGAACTGGAGTTTCTTTGTTTTTCCTCGAAGATGTTTCGCTTCTCACCCAAGAAGCATCTTCAGTTTAGACTGCATATGTTTGGGGTTAGTCATCTGAGCGTTAACCTTCTATTCCCCACCATTCAGTCAGAACTGAAGAAGCTTCTTGGATGAGAAGTGAAACGTCTTCAAGGAAAAACAGAGAAAGTCCAGTTGCCTCTTGAACAAAAAAACACTTTTGGGACAGCCACGGCCCAGATGATGGAGAATCTCCCTAGACATTCAAGAAAGAATAAGCTGAGGGAGAAGTAAGTAAGTAAGTAAGTAAGTAAGTAAGTAAAAGTGACAAGGTGCCGGGAAGACTCATGGACAAGAAGAAGTCGTCTGAGGAACTTGGGAGTGAAACATCCCATTTTCAGCTTCCTAAGAAGTGATCCCAGATATCTTAGCTCTTTTTAATATTGAGCACAGTAGTCAGAATGAGCATTGCATGGAAACTGCCCACTATCAGCAGTTCGATCCTGACCAGTTTGAGATTGACTCAGCCTTCCGTCCTTCTGAGGTGGGCAAAATGAGGACCTAGATTGTTGGGGACAAGAGGCTGACTCTGTAAAACCGCTTAGAGGGGGCTGGAAAGCACTGTGAAGCGGTATATAAGTGCTATTGCTACTGCTTACACTGGGTGGGACAGCATTTTCAGTCTTTTTGAGAAATATTGGACAATTAAATGTGTGCTGGAATGGAGGGGTTTTCAGAAGGATCCAAAGGGTGGAGTTGAACAAAACAGAAAGGATACAATAAATAAGATAAAGAATGAGATATCAAAATATCCATGCAGAGAGAATTCAATTCCTTAGAAGGCCCTGCATTAGTTCTACAAACTTCTGATTAATTCTGCTTTGGTGCCAGTTTGATAGCTTGAAGAACAGAAGGATCAAGTCTCTGCTTTTTATAACCTAATATGAAAATAACCCCGTAGCTTTCTGTTCTTTTTCATCCGGATTGCATTGCCTGCTCAGGCACGCTGGAGCTTCACCAGAGAATAAATTCTGCCAGATTTCATAGTCCATATTTGTGTGTGTTAAAAATAATAGCACATCCCTCTATCCTTTGGGGATGGGATGTGAAGAAATGAGATCTCTTTGATGGCTGCTGTAAAAGCAGAGTTCGTATTCGCAAGCCTTCATCATGCCAACAGATTGAACGTTAGAAGTTGGAACGTTAAGATGTCAAATTATCTGAAGTTTCCGATCAAATAATTCTATTGTTGCTAGGCCAGGATAATTCTGTGCAGGTCAGAAACTATGACCAACTTCTGTGGGAGTGACTGGATTATAAGGCAAATGACACGACAAGTGAAGGGTGCAATGATATAATTGAGGAAGAGTATATCACTTGTTAAGGTTGTTTAATGACCAAAGTTACAACAGCATTGGTCCTTTGCCAATTGAGCCCACATATTGGCTGACCATATTGTGCATCCCTGGGTGGGTCGTATAATCCCCTTTTGTGACTTTTCTGACCAGCAAGGTCAACAGGGAAGACCAGTTTTCACTTAACAACCGTGTGACTAATTTAAGGGCTGACGGGATTCACTTAACAACAATAGAAAGGGAAATCGTAACAGTCACTTGACAAAATAAATGGTAGCAACATTAATGCTGGGCTCAATTGTAGTCATAAGTGGAGGACTACCTGTAGCCTGAGTTACACCTGAGAAGCAATCCAGAGCTTAGTGTGCGTTACCTCAAACCATCAATTCTGAAATATAAGATACTTCTCTAAGACAAAGCCTGGAGAAAGAAGGACTTCATCTCCTCCTAATGAATTGACCAAAATATCTTCCATGCCTTGGTTGACTGTTCTCCAGGGCAATATAAACCAGGGGTCTCCAACCTTGGCCCCTTTAAGACTTGTGGACTTCAACTCCCAGAGTTC